CAGCGATGCCTTTCCATATGAATTTTTGCTATCGTAGCTAATCATAGTTCGCTAAAAATATTTTGCCATAACTATAAATTTCTAAACCAACAAACGGTTTGCTGTCGCACCTGATACAATAGGCACGGTAGCAAAATATTTAGCCGTCACAATTAAATATTAGCTGCCCATATTTTACAACTGAAATTTAATTGCCCCGTGTATGTTTTAGCTACGGCAGCTACATTTTTCTTCCCGTGTAGAACACATGTATGTATACACAGTTGAAAAATTTGTGTTAAATTTAGCAGATATCGCATGTTCCAAAACTCCCAAACAGTCCACAAAAATTTTTGTGTTAATTTAACATAATATGGATGTCAAATAATCACACTAATACTCTATTAATATTTTAACACAAAATAAATGCAAATCTCAAAATAATTTGAAATAAATTTTGTGTAAAATTAACATATTTTAATGACAAAATGAACTAAAAAAATGTTATTTTTATATTTTACAGATGTAATAAGTCAAGTGACGGTTCGAAATTGCTCTCACTTACGTTATATAGAATTAAATCAACATTTTATTTTGTAAATTTTAACAGATAAATCTTGTTACTAAATATATAGAACATATGTATCGTGTAAGATTAAAAAACAAGTACACATTGTGTTGTTTTAACATTTCTTTTCAAGTGTTATAATAACTTTACATTCGAGGTCAATTAACACAAGAGCAATATGTTAAATTAACACATGAATGTGTGAAACATTTAACACAAAAATGTTTACCGGCATTTTCTTTAACAAGAAAATACAAATTTTCTAACTGTGTATGCAAAATCGACTGGTCGACCTTTCGCAAGATCGTATCTCGATTTTACACAGTTTCCGGGTTTTCGATTTAAACGCTCGTTCTGATCCGACATGAGCGTTTAAGCAAAAAAACCGAAGATTGTGTAAAATCGAGATACGACCTTCCAGTCTAAGGGCCAGTTTCACAAAAGTCGGTTAACAGTTAACCGAAGATTAACTGATTCTCTGTCTCTACTTAGAGAACAAGATGGAAAAGGATAGGGAGTTGACTGAACTCTCGTTAACAGTTAACCGATGTTTGTGAAACTGGCCCTAAATGTATAAATGTGTCGATATATGCACAAATTCATGTGTACACTAGGAATCACCGATGCCTTCCCATATGAATGTAGACACGTGTAGAACACATACACGTTCTCCATGTATGTATACGCAAAATGAACAAGTGTGTCGATATGTGCACAAATGCACGTGCGAGGGGGAAACCGCTGACCAAATTCTTATACACCAATGCCCACTCATGCCCAGTGGGCATTACTTTATCTTATTATCTCATGTTATCTTCTTTTATCTTTCTAATGCCCCAGCAAGGCGTAATGCCCAACCTAATGCCTAAAAAATGCCAAGCGATGCCCAGTAATGCCGCAAATCTGTACACCGCAATGCCCTCAGCGGTTTCCCCCTCGTTCACGTGGGAAGGCGTCGGTGGTTCCCAGTGTACATCTTTTACACAAGAAATGGGGTATCAATCTAAAAAATGAACACGGTCAGAAGCGAAAAGCGCCCGGTATCTCCAGCATTAAGACTAATAGGACGAGAACGATTACGAAAGCGAAAACAGCGCTCGGCCGTTCGCACGGGAGCGTTCGCGAGGGCGAAGCGGCGGTCTCTCAAGAGGCGCGATGAAAGCATACGGAGCCGGCGCCAGGCTCCCCTCGCACAAAGGCCTCTGCGCGACATCTCGACAATAGCCCGCGGAAACGTTCTAGATGCGGCCCTGCGCCTCGGACTGGCGACCGATCCTCTCGGGAACGTCGCGTCGCGTCGCGTCGCGGCGTGACGTTTCGTCGTCGCCGCCGCCGCCGCCGCCACCGCCGTCGCGCGCGCACACGCACACGCATTCCTTCGCTCGTTCACGCACGCACCCATACCCTGGCGCGCTCGCGCGCACGCGCGCGCGTCGCGGCGCAACCACTTGTGGATCGCCCGGTCGCGCCGACGGGCCGCGTCGGCGGATCGCCGCGATTTTCCCGCCACCAGCGCCCGTCCGGATCGGCGTCGTCGTCGTCGTCGCCGCGACGGCCGATCCGGACGGACGGGCATCGGCGGGTGTGCACGCGCGCGCGACAGGCGTCGCGAAAATCGGCAAGCAGGCGCGCGCGGGCGCGAGCGCGCGCCCGCTCGCTCGCTCGCGTGTGTATGTCAAACGCGCTCGCCATGTCAAACGCGCACGGCGGGCTCGCGGGGCGGAAAGTAGAGTGAAACCGGCGGGCTTACCGAAACTCGGGAGACCGGCTCGGATCGGCGGGCCGTGTGGAGCGGCGCGGCGCGAGTCGCCGCGCGAAAACTCCGCGGGAAATCAAACGGGATGCGCGTCTCCCGCGGGAGGCGTGCGGCGAGACGTTTCGCGTACAGACAACTGCATGTGTACACGGCGACGGTGGCGCCGCGACGCGGCGCGACGCGACGCGATGCGGCGCCGCGCGGCGCCGCGCGGCGTCGCCGTCGTCGTCGCGATGCCGCAAGGGGGTTCGGGGCGGAGGGGGCACGAACGGAGGCCTCGCCAGGTCTCGCTTCGCTCGCTCCTTCTCCCTCTTGCCCTTTCTACACCTAAAGATGATCCTGCTCTGTGGCTCGTCCGAGCGGGTGGATGAGCAAAAATCGCCGTAGACCATTTATGAACTCGCGTGCCATTTCTGACATAAAAAGACGGTTAAAAGGCACAGTCAAATGATACAAAATCATGCTTTGGTATGACGGCCGTATTAAAGTCTCTGCGTAAACTTCTCCACTCGGATGAGCCGCGAGCAGAGACTCGATCATGAATCTTTTTTGCTCAAGCGCGAACTCGTGAAAGGTGCAAATTTTCATTGACAAATGTTGAATTCGTTGATGAAGTCTTTCGCCTTTCACGAGTTTGCGCTGGAGAAAAAGATTCCTGATCGAGCCCCAGGATCGTCCTTGGGGGAAAGGACTTCCACGGTAATAAACAGGGGTGTATCTTCGGGGAGGTAGGCACTAAGACGCGCCGCTTCTTAATTTTTCGGCGAGAAAAGTAACGGGCTGGGGTAGACCAGGATTTGTGAACCTGGGACCTTCCGCTTCCCTGGCGAAAATTTATATTTATTTACGAAGAGTTTTATCGACAGTTACGTTGTTTACGGAGAGTTTTATTGATGGTTACACCGTCTGGAAGTACGTTGCAAACACTTGGTTAATTCTTTACCGACAATAACACAGGGTTGGGGAGTAACTCGTTACTTGTAACGAAGTTACAGTTAGTTTTTCTTCGGCAACTCTAACTTAATTTCGTTACTTTCTCTCCATCTGCAACTGTAACTTAACTCGGTTACATTTTTTTCGATAGCTAGTAACTAATTTAATGGTTACATTAATTTCACATCGATTTCCGCGCGATTTTCAGCATCGGCGGAAACGCGCGAGCAATCGCCAACTCCCGGAGGTCTCGCTCACTCGCCGGACGGATTGCCGCGCGGTCCTCTTTATGTTTTCATTCATAAAATGCAAGAAACATTGATGAACAATAAGGTTCGTCACGTATATGGAGAGGACCTGCCTCTTTAAAGGAGCGACGAAAGTTGCACGAGAGACCGTATCTCGGGCTGATTCTGGGTTTTCGCCAGCCACATCGGAGCTGACGTAATCGAATAGTTTAATTCATTAGGGCATTAATTAATTAATGTAATTAATGTAACGCGATATTGTTTATTATCGGCCAACGCTTGCGCTACATTCGACTCGGCGAGTCGCTGGCAGATGGCGCCACGTGTCCGATACGATCGCCTTATTGGCGATTCATTTATTTCGTTCAATAAAGAAACATTTAGGTACAATGTAATTCTGTAATTCTGTACAGTTTGATTCGAGACACAGCTCGAACTCACAGTTACGCGTATTTTCCAATAAACAGGGCTACTAATTGAAATCTACCTTATGTCCCACGCATTCTGTGATTAAGGAAGCTCGCAGTGAGAAATGTCTCGTCGATCAATGGCGACTCGACATCGATCGACGAATCGTTTCTTACTGGGCTGATTCTGGCCGCGGATTACTCGATACCACAAATGCCTCGGAACGTTCTTCCTCTCCTTTTTAGCAAAGGAAAAGAAGACAAAGAACGCTTTGTGTGTGCGAAGCATTTGCAGCGTCAAGTGTGCCGCAGCTTATCCTATTCTGCGTCCGTATTTCCTAAAATTTTAATATTCTTCGCTGGAATTATTTGCGTACACACACACAGGAGTCTTTTAAATTCTTAAAGGAAGTTTTGGGTTTACCTTAAATCAAAGTTTAAAGTGTCCCAGTTGACTTTTCATGTTTCTCATTTTTCTAAAGTAAAATTTCAAGGTGTCCCAAGGTATATTTTCCCAAGGGCGATCACGCAGTCTTAAGCGCCACTTACTCGTTCATTCACTTGATATTTTTGTCTGGGCGCTGTTAAACGAAATTATTACAGCAAATGCACTTAACGCTTCGCACCGGCGTCCCGTGCGCAAAAAAGTCAGCCGATTCTACCTCGCTTTCGCTATTTTTTTAATTTCTGTATTTTTTGCCGGCGCTTTGCGTACATAGGGTGCTTGCGTATGCTCCACTCTGATTATCGTACCAATCGATTACGTGGCTCCGAGTGCGTTATTCGTTTAACAAACAATTTTGTTGGTTTTTTAAAAATAAATCTCACGTATTGCAAAAATGATCCCGCCTGCTGTTACAAAGACGTCAGACAGAACTTAGAAACCGTTGGTCACTACAAATTATACTCGAGCTAACAGTAAGAGCGTCCGAAAATGCAGTTCGGCGTCCGAAGCTGCAGAGCCTCGAGGCGACCATGTGGCTCTCGGTCATTTAATTCGCCGTCCCTGCGCGAGCACGGAGATAGGGTCGAGTTTCGACGAGAATTGCCCGTCTCTTTCCGCCCACGTAAGCCGCCGGGGGAGCGAGAGAGACGGGCAGGGAGGGTGGAGGGGCAGGAGAGGGATGGAGGCGACCAGGCTGTCGGGCGAGTCAGAAACGGAGGCAGAGGCCGACGAAGGGTGCGCGGAGCGCATTGTTCGCGGCGCCTTTCAACATGGCACCGATGCCGCCGCGTCGGGGAGACACGAGGAACGCGCGGGCTTCGTCGGGGGTGCATTAGTGCCAAATAGATCCACGTCCACGGAGGGGAAGGCCCCTCCGAGACTCCTCTCTCGAGGCCTCGCGTCGGAGTGCATCTTTGGAGAGCGCGTCGGATTTCGGGACACATCTCGTACGTGGAGAACGCAGGGGAGAAAGAGTGAGGGGAAGAGAAAAGAAAGAGAGAGGGAGAGAAAGAGAGGAGACCGTGCCATGTCGAGGAATCGCACGGGGCAGGGACGGCAGGCCAATCCGGTGGCGGTCATCCTACCCCGTGTCGAGTGACATGCTGCTTACGTAACGGATTATTCTCGCTATGATAACGACACTCCAGACGACGCGAACGCGACACGTCGACGCGAGGAAGCGGCAGCAGCAGCAGCAGCAGCAGCAGCGGCGGAACAGCATCGTCGACGCGGCGGCGACGGCGCAGCGCGCGACCCCGACGGAAATACGCCGACCCGGATCCCGCTGTCGCCGCCTCTGATACCCGTCGCTCAAACGGACGCCGAGCGTCGCGACGCCCACGTCCTCGCCTCGGCAGCGCGGGGACACGCCTGACCACCCGGGTGCCGAGTGCGAATTATGACAGCGGCGGTCGTCATGGAGAACGTTAACTGGGACCCCGGTAAGTCGACGACCGGTGGGAGCGACAGGAGGACAAGGCCGCCGGTCCCCCGAGGGATCGAGCGCAATCGAGATTCGCCGAGGGTGCTTTCACGTGTTTCACGTCATTTCCCGACGCGGAGGGAGACAGGGAACGGGCCGGCGCTCAGGAGCGGCGAGGGTGATCTCGCCCGAGTCGACTATTGTGGCGGCGTGCCGATAAGGCCACCCCGTTGTTCCCCGTCGCGAGAGCAAGCGAGTTATTGGAGCAAGTTGCGGAGAATAATACTCCTGAAAGACATATTAATAATACGTGCGCGTTGTCGGCCGCGAGCGTTGTAAACGCTATAAATATAGAGCGTGGGTAATCCCGCGGGAAGGGGGTGGGAATAAATAAACGCGAGCGCGAGTAATAACGAGGCCCTCCGACGTTAGCGTTAGCGGCCCAGATTCCAGTCGCGGCCGCGCGTTTCCGCGTGCTCCAATTTCGTTGAATGGAACGGACGTTCTCTACGGGGCGAGCGATCCCCGTTTAAAAATGAATCCGATATCGACGGTATTGACCGGCGCGCGAATGCCACGAGAGAGAGAGAGAGAGAGAAATCCTTGTCTTTGAATTAAAATAATTATAGAGCCATGTGGGAGCGAGATAGAGTTCGTTACACCGCTTCCAATTTTAGCGCCTCCGTGTTTAAATATGGAGAACATAATTAGCACCGTTCGACTCTGATAACGAATGTTATTTCACGCTGAAGCGTACGTGAAGCGGGAATAATAAAGGGAGGGTGGCGACGGGGGATTTAAAGGGAGAAACAAAGGCAAGAATTTGTCAAGGCTGTTCTCGAGCACCGTATTTCTTTTTTTTTTCATTTACTTTGAATCGAATATTCTCGTTGCGTCGTTAGTCTCACTCGCTCCCTCGTTCCAGCGTTGTCCAAGCTGCTGAACTCGCTGCAGGAGAACAAGTCGGAAATTCCCAGCTGCACCGAGGAGGAGTTCGGGTTTCTCAGCGAGCTGCTGCAGTCCAAGGAACTGAACGCCCTGGTGAACGTCCACAACAAGATCCTCAGCAATGTCAAGGACGACAAGTTCTTCCCCGTGCTGTCCAACGCGATGGACATCGACGTCGAGGTTCTCGATCTGTTGTCGACCAAAACCCACGCCTCGCCCGACTGCAAGGAGCTGTTTCACTTGCTGCAGAAACCGCACATCCAGGTAAAGATAGCAACAAGTACAATTGTGTATATACTTTGCACGACAAGATGCTTTCTGCAGAGGCAGTGGTACGTACTTATTTAAAAAAAAAGTTTTAGTCGCAACAAAATGAACCGTGAACGATTGTTTTACTGCCCGAATTTTCATTTTCTGGTCAATTGTTAGCCAGAAGTCAATCGACTCTCCACCTTTGTCTATGTTATTATCTGAGAACGGACAGAGAGTCGACTAACCTGGTTAACAATTGACCGGAAAATGACAAACCGGCGTCAATCTTCCTGTTTGCAATTTAATAACCGCCCCTGAAGAAATTGATATGAGAATACGTGTTTCAACAACCCTCCTTCATTGAAGGGTCTCCTCTGCGCTCACGACGCGGTGGCGCAAAAGGACTACTATCCGAGGCTGCCGGAAATCCCGTTGGAGGTGGACGAGGACGAGGAAACGGTGAAGATCGTTCAGCTGGTGAAGTCGAACGAGCCCCTGGTACGTTAGATCGACCGTTGAGTCGGCATTTGCAATAACGGTGTCTTTCTGAGCGTCTTTCACTCGATTAACCCAAGAGTGTGAGCAAAAGCGAAAGAGGGAGAGAAAAGCTTAATTGTCAATTGAGTAATAGCGTGTCAGAATGTGCGCGTTTACGTTTTTTGAAGAAGCCGTAGGGATGGAGGGGGGAGCAGTCCGAAGGTAGATTACTTTTCTTTGCCAGAGCGTTAAAGATTCGTTTTTCCGCCCACACATGGTTGTACATTCGCGTCGCCTTGCATGAGACGCGAAAAACGCTCCCCAGTATCGGCGTAGGCAGGCGAGTCACGTATCTGCGTAGTTTGTAACTTGGATACTATGATGAGAAAGTCCTCCGGGAGTAACGAGTACCCTCACGAGTGCGAAGAAAAGAGTAACCAAGTAATCACGTGTTTCTTTCATCGTCAAACTTGCTTCGAAGGGCGACGCCGGCGTTGAACCGATCGTGGTAAGTCGCCTGAATGCCAGTAGAACATGTGCTGAGCACCTGTGATGAACACCTGACTTTACGTCGTACGAAACTGTCCTTGTACCCAGACCATCATTCTTTTCGTTTTCGCCGCTCGCTCACTTTAGCGTCAGGATCGAAACTGGTAGACTTTTGTCGCGCGCAACTCCGGTTGCCGCGCGGACGGGCGAGGTACGACAACAGAAATTGCGAACGTCCAGAAATCTTGGATGAATCAAGCTCGATTACGGAAATGAAACCGGTTTCAATCCCTGCTTCCAGCATAGATCTCTAGTCAGTCCCCTTCCTCGTTGTCGTGCTGCGACCACAGGACATAGATTCAGCTGTAAATAAAGCGTTCTCGTAAATGTCCTTCCCTTCCCTGCCTAAGTTTGTTGAGTTTGCTGTTTGCCTTTGTTGCGTCCATTGCATACGTCTCGTTTGAGTTGTTCTCTTAAGTTTTTGCCTTGTAAATAAAATCTGTTGTACCACTGCATTTGTTGTTATTGTCCCGCATGACTGTATTTTAAGTACGTGAAATGGAGTTACCCTTTGGCGAAAATTTGGCTTAAAGAAACATTTAGACACACAAAATTACCTTTTATTTCAACAATTCCACACTACTTGTGGTAATTTCGTGTCTGTTCTTCGAGCAATTAAATGATGTCACGGGCGACTGCATTTTGCGATATATGTTTCTCGAGATGCGATTCGATCTTTGTTACGTTTCTTTTGCAAATCGTTTGAAACGCCCATTTCTGTTTATCTCGGGAAATGTACAGAGATAAGCTAGACAGCTAAGAAAACGATATGAAATTCCAAAGGAGATTTAAGAGACTCTCGGCATATAATCATTGACTGAAAAATCAAATATTTTCGGTATCTCCGCGATAACTTTTGGACATTCATGTTATCGGCGCGCAGTGCTCGTCTATTTCTGTGTTGCACGATCCCGATCGAACGATCGTGGGGCACGGAAATGGTCGGAAATGCGCGTTGGTCTTAGCGTCGCGTTCCGCGTCTGCCTTTCCGTACACGAGGAGACCTCTTTATTTTTTCCCATTTTTTTTTAAGAAAAGAAAGAAAAGACGCTCCCTAGTACGCGTTCGCGCGCGATATGCAACCAAATGACAATACTAGACTTTACACCTTGACATTAGGGGGCGACCATAAAGACCTGCGAGGAAACCGGCAAGATCGTGATCGCGCGGATAATGCACGGCGGCGCGGCCGACCGGTCCGGTCTCATCCACGTCGGCGACGAGGTCTGCGAAGTCAACGGCATCAGCGTCGAGGGCAAGACACCCAGCTTCGTTCTACATATTTTGGTAGGTTGTACTTTGCCACCTCATTAAAATCTAGTAATAAAAAGAGTGGCCAAAGGACCGAATTTTTAAGTACAAATAATGTAAGAGTGCATTCACAAACAATTGCTTTTATATTTTGCAAAATAGTACATCTTATTACATTTAATCTTGAAGATTTGCGATTATATTTTGAAGAGACTTAGGAGTTTCGCAAGAGTGTTTGAAGGAACCAAGGAGAATTAAAAAAAAATCGATCAAGATCACTGTCAGTCTTATTCGAGATGCGCAAACGCAAAGCTACTTGGCAAATTTTAGAAAATGACATCATTATAAATTCACTAACTACCGAGACGTATATGATATTATGAATTTGCCACCACAGACTCATGAACCCATTCTGTTTCGGCATAAATTAAAATGTTCAGTCAACTTTAGAATGTACTTGAGAAGGACCCGATAAAGGGGTCGAAACGTCGTGATTAAAACAAACATCAATTTTGCCAGTTTGGTCGATTTTTTAAAAACTCCCCTTGGTTGATTACCACTGGCGACAAGAAGCTACTCAAATTGTTGTTTAAAAGAACTTGTTAGTGTTTTAAAAATCATCAAGGTTGTTACTTAAACATTTTGTCCTTCTTGATGTGATAAAAATAGCTCTGTTGATTCTTAAATAAACAGGTAGTCACTGTTAAAAAACGTAAATTCGATTTTTTCCAGCAAAATTCAGAAGGGACAATCACTTTTAAAATAGTGCCCGCGGACAGCAAAAGCGGAGTCAGGGAGAGCAAGGTAGGATCTGATAGTCGCGATAACAATCAGTGACAAACAGATTTTTACGATATAAAACGACGTTAAATACGTATAATCGTTTAGGTTCGCGTGAGGGCACACTTTTCATACGTGGCGGCCGACGATCCCTATATTCCCTGTAGGGAAGCCGGATTAGATTTTGTCAAGGGTGATGTCCTGCATATTGTCAGTCAAGATGATGCATATTGGTAAGAATAGTTGGTCGTTAGAGCAATTATAATCTGAAATGTGTTTCGTGCCGACTTATAACGAAGCTGGCTATAAATTCAGGTGGCAAGCCAGACGGGAAGGCGATCGAAATATGAGAGCAGGCTTGATCCCCAGCAGAGCTCTTCAAGAACGTAGGATCCTCCTCGAAAGGAAGGAGAAGGAGAAGCCGGATGAAGACAATATAAGTATGTCGATGGGTTTGTCAGCCTCATTAAGCTTGTTTGAATCTCGTTTCGCAATCATTCGTCTCACACGTGTCGTACTTATAACATCTCATCGAGTGTTTGTCACACTATTAATGTTTATATATTGCTATAGCGACAGATATATATTGATCAATGTTGCACGAAATCCGCAGTTAACTAAAGTTACCGAAGTAGATACTCGGAGTATATTGATAGAATCTTGCGCTCAATCGCTTGGTGCATTTCTGCCAGAATTAATTCAGATTTTTGAAAGGCGAGAATTTGTTCGGCTCAACTGGAAGAATTCTAAACTAGTGCGCGAAACGCCAATATGCTCCGAAAACGCTCCGTTTCAAGGCTGATGTTGTTAATGAAAAGCTTGACGCTAATATTGACGTAACAGTAGCGATGTTGCATAACAAATCGTTTAGTGACCACCTCAAGCGTACTTTAGCATCGGTCGGTTTTGTGTGCGCGCGGTAGATCTGTGCCCGAGGTGGTTACCCGTTAATTCAGTAAGCTGATCTTGGCTGCGCTTCTTTAACGAATGAACGGCCTGACGACCTGACCGTCGGTTAGGCTTGTGTTCTGTTCCAGTGCCTTTGCCCACATTGTGCCCCCGTCCCAGTACCTCTTTGCACGCCTCGCCTACAAAGTGCAACTTGCAGGGAACTAAAACTAAAAAAATCATGTATGACGCTGCAGAGAACGATGACTTCGATCGGGAAGAAGTGCCGACCTACGAAGAGGTCGCCAAGCTCTACCCCAGGCCGGGTCTGTACCGGCCGGTGGTTCTCATCGGGCCACCGGGGGTCGGCAGGAACGAGCTGAAGAGGCGACTTATGGCCACCGATACCGAAAAGTACAAGACTCCGGTTCCATGTAAGTTCGCCAAGAATCTCACTGCCGTTGATTGAGATAAGAAGGCTACATTAGCTTGTGGGAAAATTAACTTCACAAATATTGTATTTAACGAACCTAAGAATACCAATAATAAAGGATTTTATTAAATCAACGATTGAAGTGAAGCACAAGACAGCAATTTGCAATAAAAGGATTGAATAAAAACAGTTTGGTAAAGTACGTACAAGTAAATCCGTTGAAAATAAAAAAATATTTTTAAAATAATTATAAATATAAAGAGAGAGAGAGAGAGATTATAATAGTAACGTATAATTTACCAATCTAATGCTCTTTTTAAACGAATCCTTTTATCAGATACGTCTAGGCCACCGCGATCAGGCGAGGTAAACGGCAAGGAGTATCATTTTATGACTCGGGAGAAAATAGAGGAGGACGTCAAATCTGGGAAGTTTATCGAGTACGGCGAGTACAAGGGAAATTTATACGGCACCAGTTCCGAGAGCGTCAGCTCGCTCATAAACGCCGGATACGTGTGTCTTCTGAATCCTCACTATCAGGCCCTCAAGATGTTAAGAACACCGCAACTGAGGCCGTACATCATATACGTGAAACCGCCGACGTTCGAAGTGCTGAAGGAGACCAGAAACGAAGCCCGAGCGAGGTCGACTTTCGATGAGAACAATTCTCGGGGATTCACGGCAAGTTGGAAATTTTATACTCACACAGAATGGAAATTGTTGTCATTTCTATCATAAGTCGAGTCTTTATAAATTCACCTAGATATTTTTTGCTATACGTTTTGATATATTTAACAAGCATCTTTGCATTTGCAGTCTAAGAGAGTGCAGCAACTGTATTGTATTTTATCATTGATCTTATACAATTCTTTACAGGACGAGGAATTCCACGAGATCCTGCACAACGCGGAAAGAATAGAGTTCCTGTATTCTCATCTCTTCGACGAGGTGATCGTGAACGCTGATCTTCCAATGGCATTCGAGCAACTAGTCAACGCAGTCCGTCGAGTGGAATCTGAGCCGCTTTGGGTACCAGCCTCGTGGGTTCAGTAAAAATGGTGGTCTTTAAGGTTCGAGGAACAAAACGCCCGGAAGGAAAGGCGGAAGAGGAGGGGTTCCGTGCTCGTCGCGGTTTGACGAGACCGAGCGCTTCTCGCAACGCTCGACGATACTTTAGTTCTGCCTCCGCGAACGACGTTTCGCTGAAGAACGCCTGTACTTCTCGTCTACTGTCTCACCGAATTACAGTTTACCACCTAGCGTTATCGCGCCTTTACACTCGTAGAAATTTCGTACCTCGAACGTTCGCGAGTCTTTTACCTGTTTCGAAAAAAAAAAAAAATTAAATGAAATTTTTCTATTATCGGATGCCGCGCGTTCGTTGTCGATGATCGTTGCCGGTTCGCACGTGACGACTCATCGCGAAAGGGACGCGACGCGCTTCTCCTCAACTAAATTAAGTAGTCAAGTATGAAATGTTGAAGTAATTTCGAAGATACGCTCCAAGTGGTTCAAAGTCGTCCAAATCCCACCTCTTGTTTGCCGGGTAACTATCAGAAATCTCAGCGACACTGCGCGCATTTTTAATCTTAGAACCCTTACTGCCAGACGCTTCACCAGCGGCGGGAGATCTCGTATCACGCGATCAAAAGGAAAGCGGTGTGACTTCTCTGATCTCGTCGCGAGTCTCTCTATTCTGTATTATATTCTATCAATGCACACCTCGTGAAATTCCAGTCTTGAGACCACGGGAATCTCGCACACCTCGGTGCTCACCGGTGCTCACGAAATGGGACTCGTTGCCGAGGTCGCTTTGGAAGGTTCACCAAAGTCAGGAGAGTCACCGCCGTGGACGATCTTTGATCTCGATTGTTGTTAATTGTTGCCAAATAAGTATTGTACTTAGAACGCGACCGAAACGATCGCTCCACTGTACTTATTGTATTTTCCACACTCGGTCAGCATTGCCACGATATTAATATTTTATTTTATTCTTTTCCATGACAATGGAATGCCAATGAAAGAAAGAGGCTGTACGCTCTATCGAGTTGACGTTGCATAATTCACCCTTGATGTAAACTCTGCATGTTATCGAAATATACCATTAAACTTTGAACGTGTAATTGAGATAACCCGTTTTCCTTCACGTCCGAGATACAGTCTGACATGAAGAAGAGAATTTAATTGTCTGTAATTAATCATATTGCTGTACGTAACGTACGTAATACATTATTGCAGAAGGCGTGCTTTGCCGTGTCTTCCGACCATTCAAGCAAATCGTATGTATGAGCCATCTCAGACATATAATACTGAGAAAAACATATTCCGAGAAACACTTCGCGCCTGCTGAGCAGAATAGAGAAGGCCTTCATGCGAGCTCGTTGATAGACAGCTGACGTGTTTCACGTGCCTTTATTTCGCGTAGCAGTTTCTTTCTGCGTTCATTACTTCCAAGGTCAGTGCCAAATGAGCGACAGGCTGACCCGAAAAAATTACACGAATAGTCCAAGTTTTCCGCAAAGATAAATAACCTGGGCACAGTTGGCGCCGTAGATTTCCGAAACGCGGTGTAACACGGCTTAACGAGGACGCGCTTATTCAGTGTCTCGTTCCCGTCTTGTCTAAAAAAAAAATACAGCTGCTCGACCGAGTCGTCGAGTCGGTTATTTTTGACAGCCAAGTGCTCTTGAGCCGTTCGCACGTTCGGATTAATAGAAATAACAATTTATAGCGCGCGCGAGAACTTCAAGGGCCTTTTCATCGATCAGAAATGTTGCAAATAGCCTCTGACCCTCGGTCGCTCCAGGATCACTTAATGCACTGTCCTCGTTTTCTTTCTGTCGAGAAGCGTAATGAACATCCGTGTCAAAACTGCGACTTACACTTAACCAGCGGGAACTCTTAATAGCCCGTCACGAGCAGGCACGGAAACCACTTTGCTCTTCGCGCCAACGACTTCCTCTCGAAATTACGAGCTCCTTCATTGGAAGCGCGCCTGCAAATATTGATTCTCGGACGCGGGCGTCGCGTGCGTGAGGGAGCTTCGCGCTCGTACATGCTTTACATCAATAAATTATAATATAAAATGTTATTTATAATATAAAATTTATTATAATATAAAATATTATAATATAAAATTATAAAATAAAATAAAATAAAACCATGACTATATATATGTATATATATAATATAAATTATCAATCAGTAAGTATTTATTAAAGAATATACAC